CAAGACATTGGTTTCCACATAAGCGATATCTGGCGTCCCATCCTCACACCTCAGTCCAATGGGTCCCCTATACCCTAGGACATTTCCAGCCGATGGGACAACACAATACCACAAGACATTTGTTTCCACATAAGCGATATCTGGCGTCCCATCCTCACACCTCAGTCCAATGGGTCCCCTATACCCTAGGACTTTTCCAGCCGATGGGACAACACAATACCACAAGACATTGGTTTCCATATAAGCGACATCTGGCGTCCCATCCTCACACCTCAGTCCAATGGGTCCCCTACACCCTAGGACATTTCCAGCCTATAGTACAACACAGTACCACAAGACATTGGTTTCCACGATAGCTTCTTCATTTCTGGAAAAAAAAAAGAATTTAGTATTAAGGGGATTCCATATTTTGCAGATTTTGTCCACGTTGTAGCGCCTTTTCCTTGTAACTTTTTGATTTTGATTTTCCATGCAGGTTGGACGTACGACATGACCAACAATTACGAGGTCGTGTTTCTGATGTACGGAGGCTTGCCCTTTGCTGTGATACCGTTCATGCTGGCAATAAGATTTACTGAATAGCTTTGTCCGACTGCTTGAACTTATCACCGTGGTTCAACTGAAGCGCCCTCTTTCTTTTTGGCATACCTAGGGGTCATGCTCATACCAATCTCTTAAGTTTATATAGCGCCATATACATGCCTATACGCCGCATTTTAGATGACTATATGGATAAAATAAAAATAAATCAAACCCTGGAGCAAAAAAGAAAATATATCACAAATAAGTCACTACAAAACTACTAAGTTCCGATTTGTCTGCTTGTCGGTTTATTGTTTGTAAAAATATACTACTGTAGTGGGCTTTCGTACGTTTGCATTGAAATCTCAAATGAATTCTCTGTTTCATCGAAATGTTGGCATTCGACCGTAGGAGCAAGTGTTACAGATGTTGGGATTCATAGACCTGAACATCTATCTGAAGCAGTTGTCTGATTCTTGGCGTTATTTAAAAGATCAGTTTATTAAAGAGATGAAGTTTACGATTAGGCTTGACATTTGCCTCGAGGAAGGGCACCCCTTCCTCGAAATGGAGGTGTAGGCCTAGATGAGAGCGGTGAATTTTTTTAAGTTTAATTATTTCAAACTATCAAGCTACAGGTAAGATTTTTATGTTTTTAAAGAGCAGTTTTTTAAAGACCAGGCTTCGGCAAGATCCAGTTTCATATTTTCTAAAGAGCAGTTGGCATATGCAAGATCCACTATTTCTAGCAAGAGTAAGCATAGGCGTGCAGTCTAATATTTCACAAACGTGGGCTTACTCCTTAAAATCAGTCTCCAAGGAAAGTAGTATGGGCATTTCTTTAGTGCATTATAATAAGACTAGATGAGATAACTTTTTTGGTTTATTTTAATTTGTATTATACTCTGCAGCTGACTGCACGCTCTTAACCATTAGGGCAAAACGGAGCGGGGTCCGTTTTGTGTCACTGTGATAGGGTCTGTTTTACTGCAAAGGTGAATGGTGCAAATGAAATACTTGTACGAAAACCGCGTGACCACGAGTCAAAATTGCTGTGTATTGTCACACACATAATAGTTTAACTTATCATTACAAAATAGAAATATTCCCATTGCCAGTTTACAAAGATCCCTTACAGACCATGTTACCGTACCATAGATCACAGTGGTCCAAAAATTCAAATTGCAGACCACGCTAAAAACCACGCCGAAAACGTTTGGTGGCGCCCTACCGTTTTCGAGATATCTGTTCATAACAGCGGTAATCCCAAGGACATTCATAACTACCGACCTATGTCTGTTCTCCCCTGCTTCTCAAAACTTCTCGAGTGGCTTGTCTACAACTGACTGTCAAATTTTTTTCTCAATCCAAGATTCTTTTCGACAATCAGTTTGGCTTTATCTCTACTGACATGACTCTCATTCATTTTACTGACCTTATCATACTGTACTTGCATACGATCGGGGTGTTCATCGATCTATCTAAGGCTTTTGATACATTATATAAATCAGCTTTTGATACAGTGGACCATTCTATCCTCTTAATATCCAAACTGAATTTCTATGGCGTTAGGGGGTGTGCGCTTCAGTGGTTTGAGGATTATCTTGATAATCGCTACCAGTACCCTAAGATTGATGACTGCAACTCATCTCTAAGCCGTATAAACTCTGGTGTTCCCCAGGGCTCCATACTTGGGCCACTACCTTTTTTATTTAGGCCTATGTCAATGATCTGCACGATTCCTCTGCCCTTTTATCTTTCCTTTTGTTTGCTGATGACACGACTATTATATATTTTAACTCTAGTTTTGAATTTCTTGTTTCTACTCTGAACAATGAACTCACCCAAGTCTCATTCTTGCTTAAGTGTAATCAACTCTCTCTGAAGTCTATTAAAACTAAATGCACTTTCGTCAATAAATCCGGCTATTTACCATCTGATTTCTCCATCAGCATCAACAAAACCCCAATTTCTATTGTCCGTTCAACTAAAATCGTGGGTGTCATTGTTGACGATAAGCTTAGCTGGAGTGACCACATTAATCCGTCTCCAAGATTGTTTCCCATAATACATGGCGTCCTTTCCATACTTCGTTCCTTTCTACCAGCTCTCACACTTTTTAGGCTTTATAACACACTTATTTTGCCTTATCTTAACTATTGCAATATTGTTTGGGCACGTTCAAGTAACAACAAACTTCGTTGACTTACTACTATTCAAAAACATGCCATTAGAATATGCACCCTTTCACCCCCTTGGGATAATATAGCACCGTTCTTTGCTTCTCTTCACACATTCACTGAATCTGATATAAACAAACTTCACAGGGATTTTCATGTATAAGCATGTTAACAACCTACTTCCTTCAGTTTTTTCTTCTTACTTTACCGCAGTAGATCACATCTCAATCTGTTTTTGCCTTTTGCAAGCACATGCTATTCCCTGAATACACTGAAATTCTCTGGACCCCGTCTTTGGAATAGTATTGGTGGTAATATGAAGTCCCAGTCATCTCTAGGATGCTTTAAGAACAACTACAAAAGACACCCAGTTTCTGATTATCTGAGGTAGCTCCTTCTCTTTTATCATTCTAATCTTGCTTTTGTTCTTCTAACGTCTCTAGTGTTTGTACTTCCAATGTTTGTTACATCTCAGTCTATTGGTTCGTCTTTGTTTTGTTTTGTCCTTGTTTTGTAATGTACTGCAATTGTCTTTTTTATGCATAATC